GCGGGCAGAAAACCTAGTTTTGGATGAATTCCAGTGTGGGGCACGCGATAATTTTGCCTCCTCCAGCTGAAAATTCGTCTTTTTCAGGTTAAAAATCCCGTGGACGAAAATCAGTCCGTTTAAGAAAACTGGCTGGACAAATTTCCAGCTGCTGATGGACGAAATCCTGAGTGAGTATTAGTATAGGTAATAGCATGGTTTGTAGTGACATTTGGCATAAATACCACAAGTGATATTTCGAAATTATTATACGTAATTTCACGAGCCATTAAGCGAGTGAAATTTGAGACAATTTTGAAATATCACGGGTGGTGTTTATGCCAAATATCACGTACAAATCATGCTATTATTTGTTTATACTACTACCCGCAAAAGGTTTGAAATTTTCACATGTAGGTATTTCAAATTAAGCTGAAATATCACTGCTCTAAGCCAATCAAATTGCAGAAATTTCTCATGTAGTAGTATAAACCTAGTGAAACACCTTTGTTGATCTCAAAAAGTACTGAAGCTCTCGTTGAACAGAACAGAACCCATCTCTGTGCTCGTTCAACATCGTTCAACATTTTGAATTTCATTATTACTTAACATTCAACATAGCATAATACTCATTTCAACAATGATTGTTTATTGGTGCACAAGTGTTAAACCACGTATAGTATCAGTGGTTTTACGATCATTTGATAATGTTTACTCTTTCACGTCCAGAAGTGGCCAAAGTCAAAATGCGACAAAATTTCCAGATTTCTTCTTTTAAAAAAACTGGAAAACCAATCGCACCTTGTGATCGTACTGCCTTAGAGGCTTCTTTTGAATGGTCACCATAGAACAGCAAGTGGTAACGTTTGCGCATGCGTCAAGCTTGCTGGGAAGCACTTGTTGATGGGAAATTGTAATGGACCAAAGCTGTTCTGAAGCGCTTTCAAGGGAGATTTTTTTGCATACCCAATCAACAACAGACATTTCTTATAGATTTGATACTTTGGCTAAGCCATGTTAAAGTGTCATGTATGGGAGAAGGACCATTTAGCTGGTTAATTTTCGTCCTTTTGGCTCCTCTGATGAAGCAGATAAAGCGTTCACGAGGTCGTTTGTTGTGATATGTTGATTTGTTGACATTCAAGCGGTCACGGATTTCTGGGTTATCGTCCACGATCTGCAGAGCTGCCTAACATTTAGGTAAGATATACTCCTTGATTTACTTTGTGAAATATGGAGCAGCATCATCGAATGTTATGTGTTAAAATTATAGCAGCCTGAATTCAACGTAATTTATGTGACCGTGGTATTTTTGTAGTGTTTGACCCTGACCGTACAGCGAGATCCAGTGATATATCCCACACAAGCGACTAAACAGGTTAAACTTCTCTTTCGGTCACTCCGTATTTTCACTTTTAATGGTTAATTCAAAGGGGGGGAAGTTCGAGTATTTTGATACTATTTAGCGGCATGAAATCAACAAGCAAATTTCCTACTCTTACAAGTAAGGCCATAGTCGGATGTTTCCTTCCATTTTCGAAAATTTACTTTTCTGGTTTACATTGGTGCTCTATGGCGATTACTTATTCTCAGAGATTAAGAGATCGAGGCCGTGGATTGTGAAATATTACTTGCTAAAACTTCGTTAAAGATGGACAAATTTTTCTTGTCCTTTTCAACCTTGTTTTTAGATTTTTCGTTAACATGTAAAAGTATATCCCAACAAAACTTATTTGTAAGAGAATTGTTTCGGAACACTCTTTCATTCTTGAATGTTTGATTTTGCATCCAAGGGGGGGAACACTGATGAATTTGCGTTTTAATAATCATGCACTGTAAGCTCTCAGATTCACTGACAAGAACCCTCACCATTTGGAAGATGATTTTAATCTGATAATTATTCAATGATGATTTGTTTATACATACAAAATTGGCGCCTAAAAGAATTTTAATGTTATGCTTAAAATGTTTATATAATGTCTTGAAACATAACAGAAATCAATATAAAATATGAAAATACATATATGTGCATTCTTTTCCCTGCCCTACTATAAAAGTCATTTCATAAGTGTGATTTAATGCATTTTCATATGACCATTACAATATTACTCCCACTTTGACATTAGCACAAGTTCAAGCGCAAAACAATTCTTGCCCTTGTTCACTTTTTGCACTTGCTGGACTGCCATTCCTGTTTGAAGTACAGACAACACTGGACATGAAATCCCTGTATTTGATTCCTTACATTGGCATCCACATAAGAATTAGCTTTATCACATACCATGTATTTGTTCGCTTACAAAAA